TGATTTTTGAAAGATTAAACTTCCCACCTAATTTTAGAATGTTGAATAATTAAAGTAGGGATTTGTATAATTTTCACATTTTAAAATTATATCAATCAAACACACTTAATTAACAATTCACTGAAAAACAAGTTCTAGACAATTATTTTTTCTTAAATTCATTTTCTTTCCACTCATTTTCCACCATTGCAATCAAACGGATCCTAATACTAAATTAGATTAAGAAGTTCTCACTTAAATAAGGTAAAACTCATCCAATGTAAGCATAATCCTACACATATGAACATGCAAATAGAAACTGAGAAAGATCCTAACAAATAATAAATCACGAAGGATAAAATATAGATTCATTACCTAAATTAGTACAGCAAGGATGAGAAGCAACTACATGGATTCTAAATTTGGCAAAGGCTAAAAGTAGCAATAATTTGATTAAGATAGAGCTCTTACATAATTACATTAAAGGACAAAAAGTTAATCTCAACACAATAACAACCCATCAAGATACATCAACCTAATACATCAGACCTTACAGGAGCAGTTATTATGCAACAAGTGAAGTCGATGGTCATTTATTGAATCGACATAAAGAAAGAACGGCCATAGTATCTTTGCTATTTTATTTGAATTTCATATATAAGATACAGATCCATCAATCAGCAAATTAACTGTATTAGCAATGACGCTACAATGGTAATACTACAATACAACAAATACATGCCCATGACAGAACAAAAGTTGGTATTGTCTTTTGATACAGAGAAGACTGCCAGGGCAAGCAATGCCCACCGACCACATAAACTTCTTCCTCGTGGATCATGAATTTCCTCACAGATAAAACATGGTAATTGGACAACAAACGTTAATAGGTTTAAAAAATCTTAAGAATCTAAGTGAACACCAATAAAGTGATTCTACCGCACAATTGAAATGATTGTCATTGCGTGCTTTTTTTCTCGTTGCCATAGTACCTGAGATACCAATGAACGAATTTCTTCAACCCTGTCTGCAGATCTGTTGTGGGCTTATAGCCAAGCTCATTCTGAGCCAAGCTGATGTTCGCGTGTGTGAACTGCACATCCCCGTTTCTCGGCAATTTCATAATCAACCTCTTTGCTTTCACCTTGAGTAATCTTTCCAAAATGCTCACAAGATTTGAAACGGGCACCGGAGATGTGTTGCCCAAATTGTACACCCGTAATTGAGCTGGCCTTTTCTTCTTGCCACCGCTACCAGTACTTTTCTCAGCAGTGTCCAATGCAGCTAAACAACCCTTTACAATATCATCAATGTAGGTGAAGTCCCTTGCAACTGTACCATGATTGGCTGCCTCAAAGATAGGAATTGGCTTCCCCTTCAAAATATCCCTAGTAAAAAAGAAATATGCCATGTCTGGCCGACCCCAAGGTCCATAAACCGTGAAGAACCTCAATCCAGTAATTGAAAGTCCATATATATGATTGTAAGTATGTGCAATCTCCTCACCAGCCTTCTTAGTTGCGGCATACAAGCTAGCAGGCTGGTCCGTCCGATCCCTCTCTGTAAAGGGCACCTTGGTGTTCAACCCATATACAGAACTACTAGACGACCACACAATAGCAGGCTGAGGATTGACACTCTTGCAAACCTCAAGAACACTAACAAGACCAGCAATGTTGCTATGCACATAGGAGCTAGGATTTTCCATGGCATATCGTACCCCAGCCTGCGCAGCCAAATGCATAACGTGGGTGAAGGGAACAATGTTGAAAAGCTTCTTCAAGAGGGCAACATCATTGATATCACCCTCAACAATGTACACCCCCGTGCGCTCCAAGTGCGCTTGTCGCGCCCTCTTAAGGGACGGATCGTAATAATCATTGAAATTATCGAGCCCAAGAACGCCATCACCACGGCGCTTGAGAGCAGTCGAGACATGGGTTCCTACAAAACCTGCAGCACCAGTGACCAAAACAGAAATCCCATTTCTTGACCTGATTTTAGCTGAGGTCCTGACCCTTTTTTCCCAAGCAGGGCCAGCATAGGATCTTGTTCTGAGGGATCTCCTAGAGAGATCCGAGGGGACAGGTGATGAAGAAGAGGGTGATCTAAAGAACAAGAAGAAGATCGAGCCTATAAAAACGAAGGACCAGAAAGTGAGCTTGGCCAGAGAATAATGCAGCCTTGGCCTGCTATATGAAGATTTCTCCATCTTGCACTTCCCTGGGGTTGATGGATTATTGTCAATGTGCTTCATCTATGACATAATCCTCTCAAAATCTTGGAGATTCGGGAAGTGCCTAGATGGAAACTCCCTAACTTTGTGGCCAATCTACCGACTTTCTTGGATTTTCAAGAAATAACAGAGTAGGATTAGGGTTTGAAAATTACAAAAAGATTCAAGTTTTTTGGTTCAAAATTTGTAGAATATGGTTTTGAATACAAGGATAAAAACTTAAAAGAAAAAGGTCTGCATAGTTGAAGGTTTGGGGGTGGTTGTATAGTCCGTGAACGAGTTTTATGCTTTATTCATGGGAATCTTCTGTCTGTGGTTTTTTGGAAGGACTGGGTGGTGGTGGTGGGTTTTTTACCCTGTTCTTGTTTTACAGCAGCAGAGGGTGAGATTTGAAATTTTGATGATTGATTAAGAAATGGATGATTGGAGAGAGAGATTGGGTGTGGAGGGAACGAAGGGAGAAGATCGGGATTTGAAGAAGGCTAATTATCACAAAACTCTGTGATATTTCCTTTTTTTTTTTTTCACATTTCATTACAGATAAAGTCATTTTATCCACATACCTTTAGTTGCTCTGTTAACTCAACATAAAAATCAAATTTTCTTTTTAAAAACCAAGGATAATAAAGTTTTAGCCAATTTATCTTCAATAACTCGATTGGTTTATACCAATTTCCTATTTTACTAAGACTTGCCACTTCGAAAGTAAACTTTTAAGTGAGAGTTAAACAAAATGTGCAAATTTTGAGTAGGGGAATCTAACGAAGGTTATTAAACTGAATTCATTTGAAAACTCGCCTCGGTTATTTCAAATATATAAAATATAGGAAAATTGATACAAATATTACATTAAAAAATTAGTATTGCAGTTCAAAATTAATAAGAAATGAAAACTTTTGAGACAAAACCCACGTAAAAAATTTGTTTTGCAATCTAAAATAAAGCCTCGACTTTAGGCAAAACTTTACAACTTCGACCAATCCAAGAAAACAAGAAGCGATCTTGGAAAAAAATAAAAGTAAAGATGGAATTTAATCTAATAAATATAGCCTTGAGAGAAGACACTAGGTCCTAATTGCTTCATAAAGAAAAAAAAAAGAATGAAAAATGCGAGGGATGCATACCTTCAGGCCTGAAAACTAAAGAGGAGAAGTGAAACTAAGCCCTCGCTTGAGTGCCATTATTTGATAAAAACAGATATTAAAATATTGGTTTTTGGAGAATGTGTCGTTGAAAAGTAGGAAAAAAATTTAGATTTACGTATAAAATTATTTTATTAAGAGAATATGTTGTTGAAAATGAATTTAGAAAAAAACGTATTAGTAAAAAATGGGGATCACCTGAAATTGGAATATGATGAAATAGAGTTTGAGGCTAAAATCTCTTTTAACATATTATTTGAGTATCTGTATAACAGTATCATTCAAACATATATTGAGGATAAAGAGAAGTATTTTGGTGGATTTGTCTCAAGTGAAGACTATATTACCCTTGAGTTTTGAAAAGAAAATTTCCTTTTTGTGTTGAGTTAAAGAAGCAACTCACAGTAGGTTGATGGAAGGACATTTTCTGCAATGAAGGGTGAAAATGTCAAAAAGTGAAAGAGTTGAACGTTTTGCATTGAAAGGAGACGTTTTATACTAATAAACAATAAACATATGAAGAAATTTAAAATGAATTAATGGAATAGTAAGATTGGACTAATAATATAAAATATACGAGAGAGAGATTTGCGGGGATTTGGAATTTTATTTTTTCATTTACAATATAGTCATTATCGAAATAGTAAATCATCTTGAAATAAGAAGCGATGACCAAGTACTAAATGAACTATGACTCTTATTTGATTTTCACAATGAGGAAAGATAAGCAACTTTTGAAACAGAAAAGAAGGAGAAATTGCTTTACTATTTTGCTTCACTTTTGTTCATGACTATTTTTTATAATTAAATAAAATAATTAATTCTGAAGATAAGAATATTTGTCACTTCATGTTCAATGAAACATATTAATAGATAGAAACAATTATAAATTACAACAGTCAGTGACGGACCCAGAATTTTGAGTCAGCACGGGCGGTCATGGATCGTCGATAGTTGTCAGCAATAAAGTATTAAGATCGTTTGATGCCCATTTTTTTTTTT